ATGGTTTCTTTTAATGTTTCAATGTCGTGAATTCAACTTCCGAGGATCATCTTTATCTGGATAAATGGAAATAACATTTATTTGAGAAATTATTGTCTTCTTATAAAAAAGCAAATTCACAATGAGAAGTCACACTGACACAAATTTTAAAAGGACACTCGATACATTGGGGCCTCCTCATAACATAAAGTCATACTTTACTATAGAGGAAAAGGTTAAGTGTACCATGTAGCTAGGATATAAGACTTAACCGTTTTTCATTGGGACGATTTGCTCATGTCAACAACTTCACCGTTGAAATCCTTGTCGAAACCTACCGGGATCGGGGGTCACCTTCTTTCATATGTGAAGTTAAACCTCAATTATGATATCCCAGTTGTTGATAAAACGAATCGTCTAGTCAGTTATGAGCGATTGTAAAGTATGATTTACAAATTGGTATACAAATTTAATATAAAAAGTGTTTATTTTACTAAATCATTCTTCAAATAATAACTTTCCAATTGGGATATGTAAGTTGTGGTTAGGGAACAAATTAAAACTCGGCACATGTAGCATATGTTGTCGCCTAGCACATGTAAACTTGATCGTATAGGCCTTTGAATCACATCAAGCAAGCCCAGTCATTGGCAAACGAAAGTGATTGGGACTGTGAAATTCAGTACACCGGAGAAGGCCTCCGCTTCTCCACTACAAGGTGTTCTAGTGGAGAAATTTGTTCGGATCTATTAGAGTTTTGTTGTTGTTGTGGTAAGGCTTCTTCTTTGATTTTTTGGTTTTTCTCTGGTTAGAATGGTAACGATTTGATAATGGTCCCAGTCAAAGTTACACAAGAGTTACTCTTTCTATGGTGGTCTTTAGTTTACAATAGGAATAATACAAAACAGTGTTGGAATCCATGAAAAATACTCCAAATACTTCATGCTCGGTTTGATGTCCTTTAGTTGAATTGGGGGCCTCATCTATGTCAGCATCAGCTCTCTTCTGATCCTCCCCAATGTAACATTCCAACAAAACATTTCGCTGAGTAAAAGCTCTTGTGTATGACTACTTTACATGTTACAAGTTTTTCTTTTTTACGTATAGAAAAAAATCAAAATGGTATTCTCGTATTAACGAATCAAATATTGATTCTAAGGTGTACAATGATTTAGTGTTTGTTACCTTCATAGCAACTCTAAAGCATATATAAACAGATTTCTCTGTTAAATTCCCTTTATATATTCGTCTCTCTTTCATTGTTGCTGAGACTTGGACATTCCACTTCAAGATGCAGAACTGTTTTGGTTACTTGAGCTATTAGATCCATATTTTAGCTGTGGATCACTCATAACTTCCTACAAAAGGGAAAAGTATACAGTTTACAAACCAAGGCAAGTTTATAAAATATGAAAAGTTGCTTAATTGATTCATTACATTTATCGAAGTCGTGGACACCGGGGTTTGGATGTGGCTATTATTCGAGCTCCTATTCGGTGAAACGCCAAAGTTAAGGCTTTCTTCGGCTAGATCCCTGAGTCTGTTAAGCTCAGGCAGAACAACATTCCCCAAGTCAGGTCTGTCTTTGCGTCTTAATTCTGAACATTGTAGACCAATTTTGGCTGCAACCAAGGCCTCTTCGACTGGCCAGTCATGCACAACAGGGTCTAATATCTCGGCGAAAGTTCCCTTTTCGATTGCTTTCTCGACATGATGAGTCAAACCCATTGGTGGCTTAGCTGTAAGTATTTGCAATAACATAATACCGAACGAGTAAATGTCTGATTTAGTCCCCAGCATACCGGTCTGCTGGTATTCTGGATCAATGTAACAGAATGTTCCAGCGGTTGCCGTCATTCTATATTGTGTTACAGTGTCAGCAACCGATGGAGGGACGAGTCTGGCCAAGCCGACATCGGAAATCTTGCTCTTGAAATGATGGTCAAGTAAAATGTTTCCTGGTTTAAGGTCACGGTGAACCAAAGGCTCTGGTTTCATCTGGTGGAGGAAATGAAGACCGGTTGCGATTTCGGCTGCTATGCGAAATCTTAGCCGCCAAGAAAGGATTGGAGAGTTTCCTCGTCTGAAGAGAAGGTCTTCTAAGCTACCATTGGACATGTGTTCATAGACTAAACATCCGTATTCCGAACAAGCTCCAAGCAAGAGAACCATGTTTGGGTGTCTCATAGAGGTTAGTACTTCAACCTCTCGCTGGAATTGAGACCTTCCTTGTGCAGCGTCTGGTCTTAGAACTTTTATTGCCACTGGTGTATAATCTAGTATTCCCTTGTAAACAGGTCCATAGCCTCCTTCTCCAATCTTGCGACTAGGCGCGAAATCTTCTGTGGCTTCTTCGATCTCTTCAATTTTGTAGTGTCTGTACCTTGAACACGTTTGCGCTAAAGAATTCACCGCCCTCTTCTTTTCCTCTGCGGTTTCAATATGTTTTCTCTTTTGAGATTCAAGTTCTGCTATTCTCTGAGCTGCCATTGCCGCTTCTATGGCTACTCTGCTCTTTTCTTTCTCATTTTCCGCCGTTGCCATTGCTGCTTCTTTGGAATGTCTTACCTCTTCTAATTGATGTTCCGTTTCTGCTTTCCATTTGCGTAACTCAGCAGCCTGAGAAGAGATGATTCAGATTATAAGTTTGGCGATAATCTTTAGTTTTTAACTGTTTGAAACTCAAAACATACCATTTTCTTTGCAGCGATTGCTTCCTTACAGGCACTGTTATACATTTCCATTGTATGCTTTAGCTCCATTTTCAGCTTTCTCATCTCGGCTTCAACCTCATCCTGTCACATTTTAGATTTTTAAGTAAATGAAAACACTTTTCGTACGTGCAGGTAATGTGGTTTGAGTAGCGTGCTTACTTGGCTCTGTAGTGAGCATGATGTTCTTCCACTTTCAAGTGAACTTGAAGAGAATGCTGTATAGGAGGAGCCGAGATCTATGGACTGCTTATCTGGTGAGGATGATGTAGCAAAACTGCATCGATTTGCTTCATACTCAGAGCTGACAGAGAGCCGCGGAACATCCATGTCATAAAAGGAAGGAAACATCCGATCCACGCTGTGTCTTCCGCTACTCACAAATGATATATCGGAGTCTGTCACCGAGGGCGTGTATGTACCTTCATGTCCTCTTCTTGAAAAAGGAGACCTATTCAAATCACATTGGTGGTTGCCATAAGTACAATTGACAAGAATGAAACCAAAAAGGTAGAAAACATACTTGAATGCGATCTCATCTTGTGTTCTTTGCATTGTGTGTTGCCTCCATTCAACTGTAATATGAAAGTCATTTGATCAATTAAGGTAAAAAGGGTACTATAAATCTACATGTTGTTAGAACAAAAGCTTGAATCAAGTTGGTCAGTCATGTATACGTACCATTAGAATTGCTCGGCTGGGCGTGCCGCATAGTGGAATTAGGTGGTGAACTTGTAGCTGATCTCATGGAAGATATTTTCCCCCTAGTGATTGCATATACAGTACAGAAACTCGGTGCTTTTTTCATGACGGTGTTTGAAACATCCGTTGCTTTAAACCTTCTATCAAAGATAGCAAATAGGTCGGCCATAGATTATTGAGATCTAGTGTTAAGTGCGTGAAAGCATTTGCCTAATTACCTTAAAAGAGTCATCTTCGATGCACCAAGTACTAGACTCTCGACTGCATTATGTTGCACATAGTCAATTATTCCTTTAGCCGCACTGAAGTCCTCTATAGTCACATCTTGGCAATTGATCTGTTACAGGAACAAGAAGAGTCAATGGAATGAAATGTTTGATCACAAGATAAAAAAAACGTACGTCTTTTCTAGCACAGTAGCAACGGAATGGAAGAAACAATTCTGTCGAGTCATCGCCTGGCTTATTCGGGTTAGATCCTACATTAACAAGCAAGATTGAATCAACTCTACGTTTTTCCATATGTTTTAGCCAATGGAGACACATAATTAGTTGATAAATGTTGTCATACCGGAATAGGGAAGAGAAGGTGGTTGTTTTACTTTAATATGAAGAAGAGTAAGAGTTTGGCCTCGAGTAAGAAGGTTATCGACTGCCCATTTAAGCGCGTTCTGGCTCTCTTTGTCTCTGTCGATGGCTAAGGTAATGTTTTCTTCTCTTTTCTCCCAACTTTTTACCATTTGAACTTTTTCTCTTTGCTTTTGCAACTAACAGGTGGTACCCAATTTGTTTATATATCAACTTTTTTTTGCGACTACCATTTGAATTTGGACAACGCGGTTGCAATATGCTAATATTAGCAAATGCATCCCAACCAAAATTTTGTTGACTCTCTTCTTTATCGTCTCCTTATAGATTGTCTTTCATCATTGTAACTGATTTCTTACAATTTTATTTTATTTTATTTCTTGTTGGCAATGTTTAAATTACATGATTATCTAATACTTTTGTAAATCGGTCAAGAATTACAAAAGTAGTTTCAAATGATAAAATTGATGTGGAAGGAGAGAGTTAGTGAATGAGTGTATTTTTCATCTTTTGTTGGTTTGTTATTTCTTTTTTAAAACAGAACTTGTAACGTTTTTTTTTAACCATACTTCTCTGGCTTTGACCAGATACAACAAATATACACCTGAAAAAATTGGTTAATAATGGAAAACCGCCATGTTTTGAAGGTTTAGGGTTTACTAATATAGACCATGAGTAGCTTAATTTGTTTTGTTGATTGAATCAGACAGAGAATAAAACAGATGATTGAGAGTATTCATGCTGTATGATGTCATCTTAAAGGACATTACAGGTCAGTAATTAGAAAATCAAGTTTCACCACAAAACTAATATTAGAATGCTTTTGATGCAAAGCCTTCTCTTTACCATTCA